AAGAAACAAGGCAATTCTGTCTCTTTCTTCACCGTGTTTGAGGACAATCTGAGCTGCATCATAAGACTAACTCACATCTCCCCCAACCTCCCACCCTCAAGGATTCTCGAAATCAAATAAGTCAGAAAATTAAGTGAACAAAACATAGTACTGAGTTAACACAGAAGGAGAGGGAAGGAAAGGAGGAGACGGAGAGGAGTAATGACTGGAGAGAAGGAAGACCAGGAAGAAGAGGAGAGGAAGGTTCCAGAAAGGCAGACAGCCTTGAGTTGTTTCTGGAACATGGAAAGAAGGTCTGTGACAAGGTAATGAAATTTACAGACTTCTAATCAGCAGAAAATTTGGTGTGAGCCATGGCTCTGTTCCCTTCCAAAGTACTAGGATAATAGCCAAACACTACGATGCTCAGATCATAACTTACTCTTTTGGATATAATCTACTGAACTTCATGATGTATTTTGTTACTTACGATGCGTCATCTTCCTGTTAGGTAAAACAAGTAGCATAGATAGTTTGAAAAAATAATCATGTAAAATTGTCATTTTGTTTTAACAATCTTAGTGATTTTACTTAAACTTTGTCTCATAAAATAATTTTTGTCTTGTAACATTTTTAAACTGCGGGCCCAAAGGAACAATTCCATTAATACTAAAATATATAGAAAACTATAAAATATAATACAATAATAAAACCTCTTGTGCATTTATAGTACTTAATAACATCCTAATATGTTCATATATATTATCTGGGTTCTTTCTAACAACCTCTGTTACAGTAGAGAAGACTCAGAGGATTGAAATCCACTGTGTTCAAGGTCACATATATAGAGAATTTTAAATCCCAACCTGCTGCACTGACATTTCCATCCCATAATGTAAACTGGATTCTTACACTGGATAGGAGAGAGTGGGTGACATTTTAAGAGTACACTATTTTATAAGCCAATTTTGTAAGGTGCTTATGTGAACTTCTCAATATTCTTTATGATTTCCATGGACTCATATCCTCACCCATATTTTATGTTAAAGAAATTGAGATAACATCAAAAAGCAGAAGGAAAATTTAAAACTTCTCCCTGCTGCGCTTTTATGGGGAACTCAATTGTTCAACTGAAATTAGGTTTTGAAAAGGGCTTTGTTATAGAAAGTCGTACCAGCATTAACTCCCTCACACTATTTCCTAAGATCAAAGTTTAATCTGTGAGGTAGGGAGAAAATATAATGAGACTATTTTGATGTTTAATGGACAGAAAAAGATCAGTTCAGGATTCCCATCATTCCCTTCATCTTCTCAGCAGAGCTCACAGACCCAGACTGCACACATTTCCTCAAGACCCTTCTGTGCCTCAGTTAGGCTCTCTCTCAAGTTGGGTGTAAGCATTCCAGGTCTTGACAAATGTAGGTGTGAGCTGGAAGTGTACCACTTGCCTCATAAGCATCCTCGAGGCCCTGAGCTCCATCCCAGGAAGGAAGGGAAGAAGGGAAGGATGGGGGGAGGGAGAGAAGATGAAAAGAAAAAAATTAAGGTCACAGAATCAAAAAATACTTTTTAAAATATTTATTTTATGCGTATGTGTGTCTGTGTGAATGAATGTATACCATATGCATGCATGTTCCTGTGGAGACTAGGAGAGGGAATCAGATCCCACGAAGCCAGAACTACAAGGAGCTGTAAAGCTGCCCAATGTGGGTGCTGGGTACCAAATGTGTGCCCTCTGGAAGAGCAACAAGCTCCCTTGAGACATCTCTCCAGTTTCCATTTTTTTTTAATGAACTTATTTATTTATTTTATATCCAGAAGTTTCCCCTCCCTCCCCTCCTCCCAGCCCCTCTCCCTACCCACCATCTCTGTTCCCATCTATAATCTACTCCTCCTCTCTTTCTATTTAGGAAAGTATTAACAAAACATACCATATCAAGTTGCAGTAAAACTAAGCGCCTCCCATGTATTAAGGCTTGGCAAGGTGATGCAGTATGAGAAGTAGGGTCCCAGAAGCCTGTAAGAGGCAGAGATAGCCTCTGTGCCCACTGTTAGTAGTCCCACAAGAAGACCAAGCAACACAACTGTAACATGTATGCAGAGTACTTAGGTCAGTCCCATGCAGGCTCCCTGGCTGTTGATTCAGTCTCTGCGAGTCCCTATGAGCCCAGGTTAGTTGATTCTGTGAGTTTTCTCATGGTGTCCTTGACCCCTCTGTCTCCTCTAATCCTTTCTTTGTGTAATTCTAACTAAGCAAGTAAAAGATCTGTGATGTGGGATGTCCTTTTGTATGCTATGAATATGTGGTGTTCTCCTTGGATAAGTACAGCCTACAGCAAGGTAGAGGATAGAGCCAGGTGGGAAATCCAAGCAGAGATACAAATGAAGAAGGGTAGAGTCTGAGAGAGGCCATCCAGCTGCCCAAAGAACAACATGTCAGCAGACTAGTAATGCCATGGCCACATAAAAATACTTAGATTAATAGAAATGGGTTAATTTAAATGTAAGAGCTAACTAGCAATAAGCCTGAGCCATGAGCCAAACATTCATAATTAACATTGCCTCAGAATGGTTATTTGGGAACTGGCAGGAAGGAGAGAAACCTCCAGTTTCAGACCTGCATGTCAAGAACTTCAAGTCTTCAAGGAAAGAAATTGAAAAATATCAGAAGATGGAAAGATCTCCTATGTTCATTGATTGGTGGGATTAGCATAGTAAAAATGGCCATCTTACCTACAGCAATGCAATCTTACCTACAGATGCAATGCAATCTCCATTAAAATCCCAACACAATTCTTTACAGACCTGGAAAAAACAACATTCAACTTCATATAGAAAAACAAAACAAACAAACAAACAAACAAAAACAGGATAGCCAAAACAATCGTGTACAATAAAAGAACTTGCAGAGGTATCACCATTCCTGATTTCAAGTTCTGTCACAGAGATGTAGTAATAAAACCACAGGATGCTGGCATAAAAGCAGACAGGTGGGTTAATGGAAGCAGATAAATCCACATACCACACCTATGAACATCTGATTTTTGACAAAAAAAAAAAAAGTCAAAATTATACAATGGGGGGGGGAGAAGGAGGAAAGCATCTTCAACAAATGGTGCTGGTCTAACTGCATGCCTGCATATAGAAGAATGCAAATCGATTCATGCCTAACACCATGCACAAAACAAGTCCAAGTGGATCAAATAGCTCAGCATAAATCCTGATACACTGAACCTGATGGAAGAGAAAATGAAAAGTAATCTTGAACGCATTGACACAGTTCCTGAACAGACAACCAGTAGCATAGGCACTAACAGCCTCCATTTATTTTTAATCATGAGTATACACCTAATCTCCAAACTCCAGCATTTAGGCAACAGAGAATGTGTCCCTTGCAACTATGATTTCAAGACTGTAAACTGCAATTCATAATATTCGCAGTCTCCTCTTGCAGGCTACTTATGCTCATGGGATGGTTAGCATTGGTAATATGGCAGGGTTAGAATGCCTAGGAATCTAGCCTCTGGGTGTGTCTGTGAGGGATTATCTTGACCAGGTTAATTGAGATGGGAGATATCAGCCTAAAAGTGGATGGGTAATCCCTGCACTGGCAAAGAGAAAGGCAGCTTTGCAGCCCTGCCTGTCACTCTGCTTCCTGACTGAAGATGCAGTGTGTCCAGAGACCTCAAACTTCTGCCCCAGGAACATCCCATCTTGATGGATTGCAAGCTAGAACTGTCAGCCAAAGAAATCCCCCCTCCCTTAACTTGTTTTTTGCTGTGGTACTTTACCAAAGCAATGAGACAAATAACTAAAAAGTGCATCTTTGTGTGGCAAATGTAGGCCTAGGTTGTCGAGTAAGTTTGAACCTCAACACCTTTCCAAAGAGTTGGTTCTGTAGATTATCACAGTTGCAAAACCATTACTACCTTTTGGGTTTGATGGCCACAAACATGACTAAGTATCATATCCATAAAACACTTAAGGCATGCAAAATTATTTATTGAGAGAACATATAAATGAATAAATAAGAATTGCAGAAAGCAATGGGAACCCCCAAAGCTCATCTAATTCACAATTCCTATTCCGGTAACTCAGTCAGCACAACCTCTCTGCCATGTCCAGTGGAGATCTGGAATTTTCTAATCATACCATGTCTTCCTTGGTTTTTTAGCAGGAAGTGCTGGCCTCTTTAGAATAAGGAATAAACAAATGAGAAATATAAGAGTGGGAACATCTCAGAGTCTAGCATTCATTTTAACGTAGCTTTCTGACTTCTGCTATTTTTACTAATTAAACTAGGGAGGGCTATAATTTTCAAAATGCTTTGCATTTTTACTCATTTCAGATGCAAAGAACTTTAAAAGCAAAACCACAAGAGAATATGTGGTAAACAGGGCCTACTTACCAAAGGAGGTCACATAAAAATTAAAAAAGCACTAAAGAATAAATAGTTCACACTGTCTAGGGGGATAAGCTCTATGCAACCTCAAGTAAAAATTAAAACCATATTACACACACTAATCAGATCTGCATAACACATCTAATACATTTGCATACTATGTCAATGTTCTGAAAGGCACTGAACCAACAAATGCATCTGGGTTAGTGTGCCACTGAGACGGTCAGGCATTGGGCATTCTTCCTCTGCCTGACTGTATTCTCTTTAGAGAGCCAGCAGGTTATCCGCTCCCCATGGACTTCTAATGCTGGAAGGGGAAGCAAAGGAACCTGTGCACTGAGAGCCTCTCAGATGAGCAAGAAACTGGATGACCCTGGATCAGTGTTTGTAAATCTAATCTTCATTGTCAGCCTAACTGGATTTAGAGTCTCCATGGAAATGCACCTCTGGGTGTATCTGTAAGGGTGCTTCCAGAAGGATTTACCTGAAGAAGGAAGACCCACCCTGAGAGTGGGCAGTACCTTCCCATGGGCGAGAGTCCTAGATGGCACAAAGAAAAGGCAAGCTGAGCCCCAGCATCCCGGCACCCCACCCCCACCCCACCCCCTGCTATGTGACTATAAAGGTACACTCTCGCTTCCATGACTTCCCAGCCATGAATGGACCTTCCCACCTACATGAGTCAAACAAACCCTTATGTTGCTTTTGTCAGATTCTTCAATGAGAAGGGCAACTAACACAATGCTTCATTTCTAGAACATTCTATCTGATCTTGTATCTTACAGAGAAACATTTGTTTTATGTTATATAAAGAATTCTTCTTTCTCTTCACCCTGGACAGGACGATAATGGGAACATGTTGAGATTCTCTCCTTTACACCATAGTCCCTTTGACCTGGAAGTGGCAGAGGATGGAGTCTACCCTGAAAGACTCTTTGGCTTGGGGAAGCTGTCACCTCAAAGGAAGATCCTGACAAGCAGCATGGTGGCTGGCTGCTCTGAAAATCCCTGGGAAATCTGCTCAGAAAAGATTGCCTGGGTTTGGAATTGATGATGGTGAAGCCAGTGTCAACGTTTGTCTCTGCCTCGAGCTTCTGGGCATTTCTTCTCACCTCAGGTTCGATGGGGATAGACAGGCGGTACTGCTGCATACCTGTGGCTGAGCTGTCAGTCAGTGAGGACCAGCCAGAGCTTCTCCACAAAGGGTCAGTCCAGTTTTCCGATGTCCCACTGGGCTGTGGAAGCTCCAGAGAATGTACTTTGAACCTCCGGCTCCTGCTCCTCCGGCTCCTTGGCTCTAAGGTTCTCTGTGTGGAAACAGAGTTCAGCCTGGAGCCCTGTCGATGCATGTCAGCTCTCAAGCTGCCATTCAGGAAGGAACACTCACCATTTCTAACACCAAGCCCTGACTTCGGTTGGACCTATGAGACAAGGAAAGGAAGAACCAATAAAACATGGTTTCCACTGACTAACGGCCAGAAGCACCGTGTACCTTGTCCATCTTCTATTATGCCACACCACAGCAGACTTTCAGTAGAGCTGCTGTGACACATAAATCAGAGTAAGATAATCAACACTGGCTCCAAACAACTCACTCTCCTTCTTGAACTTACCAAGGTTTTGACAATGACAAGGCTTCAAGAATGAAAGGATCACTTGATACCACCACATGTCTTGTAGATCTAGTAGTTTAAACACTCAAAGACATGCACAGATGTTGCTCAGTGACCTCACCCGATGTGCTGTGTTACAACAGACAGTAGTCAAAGCTTGTGGCCACCGTCAAGGTCATGATAAGGACTGGAATGGGAATTCAATCTTCCAACGCTATAATTCTTCCAGATCATGCTAATAAAGGTATCCCTCTGTGTCTAAGACATGTGGACACTCCAGACAGGCTAATAGGCTAGTACCTTTTAAAACAATATTCTTTATTTTCTTAGGGTGCCATTTATACACAGTAGAGTATAGTATTATTTGGGAAAACAGAAAAAAAAAGACTACTTGTATGCATGCTCGGCTCCAATCTTAAAACATTGGTCAATAAAACCCCATTCTACAGGTAGCTGCCCTCTCTTCCCATGTGATGGAGTTCACTGGAACTCCTTCCATCCTTGGGTTCCTGGGAAGCTGGCATGATATGTCTTTCACAGTGTTCTTCCAAGACAATTTCTGGAAGTGACAATTTTCACCATAGAATTTGGGACCTAGTGCCTCTCTATGAGTTCTTGTTCAAGAAGTCCCCACAGGCACCATCAATAATATAGGCGCTGCCATTGCTCTTGATTTCCCACCAGAACTAGTTGGTAAGAAACCATATATGTTGGCTGCAGTACACAAACAAATCAAGTGAGTAGGAAAATTGTTGCCTGCTGGCTAGCATGGCACACCACTACACAGGCCAGTAGGGAAGAAAAGATAGCAATGGTCTTTTGTAGCACTAGACCCTTCGTGCTATAATTCCAATTCTAGGCAAAACATGCCCACTGGCTCAACAGTAGCATGACTGTTACAGAGGAAACCAATGGCTTTACAATTAGATTTCAGCGGGAGTTCACAGGCCCTTGGAAAGGACTTATTTTGTTGTTGCTAAATGGTCACATTGCCAAACTGTCTTCAAGTATTTATGTCTATACCTGTAGATTAATGCTGCTCTCAACCTTCGTCAACCAAAGCTTCTTCTCAGTGGACTGTGGTTAATGCAGAGAGACTCACAAATGATCATGCTGAGAATAAACTCATTTATGTCAAGCCCCCCTCCTCACACATACAGCAAGGCTCAGGTAATACGGAAGATGGGAGTGGAAAAAATGTGAGAGCTGGAGGAGGAAGAGTATTGAGAAATGCTGTCTCACAGACAGGATGTGGCTGTTGTACTCACAAACTCACAGCAGCTATGATTGCCTACACAAATCAGGACTGCCAAAATCCCAGCATGGATCGGGGAGTGGCACACAAGACCCCACACCTAGCTGAAGAGCTTCCAAAGAGTTTGAGAGCAGAGGAGGTTATTCGTTTATGAGGTCAGAGAGGAGGTCTCTATGCTTTATGCACTGGCTTCGATGTGAACTACCCTTACCCTAAAAAACAGTCTTTGAAGAGGAAATTTGAAAAAAAGAGAGAACTGTACATTTGTCTCCCAAAGCAAGAAGTCAGGATGGGGAGGCAGGAAGTGGGGAGCAGGTCTACAGTGAGTCGATTACTAAATGTATATGCAGAATATAAATATATATACACATATGTGTATATATGTATATATATTGCAAATGACAGGTATACGTACTTTCTTCTAAATTTTCTCTGTGATAGAAATAGAGACACTGCAAAATCATGTCTCCCCAAAAATAGCAGAGACATTTATTTCTTCTTTTAGAAGTTTCAAATATGTCCTGTGAAAGGGTCATGTAGTAACTGTCTCGCCATGGAGCTATCAGCCCAGCTACTTGGCTCAATGGAGCTGCCACAGACAAGCCAAAAATGAATGGTGTGGCTGCGATTCAATACATTTCTATTTGTGGAACCTGAAACTTAAATTTTGTGTCATTTTCATGTTTCATATTTCTTTTCCAGTCATTTAAAAATGGAAATCTATTCTTGGTTTCTGTCCTGTAATTGTCCACTCTCTTCTCTCTAGATCAGTGAGTCAGTAATTCTCTCTCTCTCTCTCTCTCTAAGTCTCTTTTCTAAAATTCTTTACTTGAAAGCCCAAAACATGAAGTACTCATACTAACGAAACTTGGAGCTGTAGCTTAGAGGCAACCCTGACAGATAGAACTTTCTCGGTTCCAACTCTCTCTTCCGGGTCTGTAGGCTTTTTAAAATATAGATTGAAAAACACCACCCTAGGATCCCTATATTCCATCCATGGTCCAAGCCAGTTTCCTAAAATGCTATACATATCTAGATGCCCACCCCTAATCCACCAATGGGATTCCAAAATGGAGCCCATCTGAGCATGGCGCGCTTGTCTGAACCAGTTCCTGTCAGCATTGAGGAGCCTTGGTTGGATGAATGTCTGCTGCACCTTAATGTGTGAACTTCAACAAGCCCATGGGAGACAAAGCTGTCCCCAAGCATTGCTTCATACTGCAATCACCTGAGGATCATTTAAAAGTCCCTAGTGACCCACCCTTAAAACTCAAGTGTATCCAATAAGGATGTAGCATGGGTACTGAAAATGTTCACATTCCCCTAGTGTTTCAAATGCATAGCAAATCTGGAGGTCACTTCCATGGACACTGAAGAGTTGCCTTGTGGACAACTGACCCCTACCACACTTTCGGTCACCATCACCTGATTCCGTTCACTGTCTTTGTTCATTTGGTTTCTTCTCTCCCTCTTTTCCTTTTCTCTTCTCTCCCTTCTCCTACTCTGCCCTTCCTGTCTTTCTTTTTCCATCTGCTTGTTTTTAATAAAAATATCTTATTACAGGTTAGATATTCCTTATCCAAAATCAATCTGGGGTAATATTAGATTACCCAATCTGCAGGAAAAAAAAAAATCTTAGGTTTGATTCTCTGGGTACCATTTCATTTTCTAGCAACTGTTGTCAGAAAGAGAAGCCTGTGGTGTGTTGGCTTAGGATTCTTCAGATATACATCTCAGAGCGGTAGTCCCACAAGCACACTAGGGAATCCATGTCTATTGCAGTGCTATCCATAACAGCCAATTTACAGGATTAGCCTATGCCCATTAAGAGATGAAGGAATACAGAAAAGGTGACACCCATGCACACAATGGAGTTCTAGTCAACCATTTGTAGAAAATGAACACAACTGGAGATTATCATAGTAAGCTAAATAAGTCAGACTCGCAAAGACATAAATCGTGCATTCTTTCATTTGTGAATCTTACATTTTATACAAATATTATACTATGTTATAATATACATATAATATCATATGTACTAGCTTCATTTCTGTTCTGTGATCAAATACCTTGACAAAAAGCAGCTTATGGGAGAAAGGATTTACCTGGCTTAAAATTCCAGGCTGCAACCCATCGAGGGAAGTCAAGGCAGGAATTTGAGCAGCTAGTTACATCACATCCGTAGTCAAAAGCAGAAAGAAATAAATGTATACAACCCTATTTTCTTTTATTTTCAGTTCAACACACATTTATTGATTTATCCTTCTAGACCGTAGACACTGGTGGTAAAAAGGTGAGTGAGATCACTTTTTAAGAGTGAAGGACATGTCACCTTAACTAGTGCTTTTCAGTAGCAGACATTCAACATACTAGTGTGTTATGACTTGTGGGATATGCTAAAAATAATAAAATAAAGGTTACTAAAGGCAAGGCTTTAGAGTTATTTTTATCTTTTGAAATAGACCTTAATAGCTCTTTCCACAATTTCACATTGGTTCATTTGCTATTTAGTATATGTATAAAGTCATGTGAACTGAAAAAATATGATAGAAAGCTTTGCATGGCACTAGTGAAGTTGGTCTTAAAAATCATTTTAAAGGGATTAACATGAAGAAAGTAATTTAGGCAATATTTAAATTATTTAGAAGATCAATGTCAACAGTGGTTCCCTTTTATATTATATTTATTTGTGAGGGTTATTAAATTATTTATTACATTCCAATCCCAGTCCCCCCTCCCTCCTCTCCTCCTGCTACACACACACACACACACACACACACACACACACACACACACTGCCTCCCATGTGCTCTTCAGAGAGGGTAAGGCCTCCCATAAGAAGTCTAAGTCTGTCCCATCATCTCCTTGAGGCAGGACCAAGGCATCTCTCCACTCCCCATACGCCCGTGTCTAAGATGAGCAAGGTATCTTGCCATATAGAATGCACTCCATTAAGTCAGTGTGTGCATTAGAGTTAGATCTTGGACCCACTGCCAGTGGCCTCATATATTGTCCCAGCCGCACCAGCAACCCTATTTTCTTAATTGTATGCTATGTTCTCCCCTAGTTTTCTTATATTGTTTAGACTCCACCTAGGGAATGGCACCACACACAATGGGTTAAGTCCTCCTACACCAATTAACAATCAAGACAACCCCACCGCATTGTAGATGTATGCATGACAAGACAACAGAGTGAGATTGTATGATGAACTTACAGCATATGGAGAAAGGGGAGGAATGAACATGATTGACGTATGTAATGCACTTGTATGAAGGTGTCTTTATGAAATTCATCAATGCGCGCAGTGAATGTACTCTTAGAAAATGTTGTATGAGAGAGAAGCCCCGCCTCACTCCCTCTCCTTGCTCTTTTCAGATAATGGGTTTCTCAAGTCTCCTATCTTCTCTCTGTCCTTCTAGTTTTTTTTTCCTGCTGTTCTTCAGCCAAACATTTGATTCTAAAATATATCTTTGGTTTTCCTGCTAACCCCATGCCCATAACCTCCACCTCCACTGACTATTCTTCAAACCGCCTGGTATGGAAGTCATCT